AATCACGCGAGTCCCTTCATTGGCAACAAATTTGTAAAACAAAAAATATTGTGAAAACACATTAATAATTGTATTCATTTATATTTAATTGATAGAAAATGCGTACATCTTCTTCTGTATATATAAAACAGTAAGCTGATTGACTGCTATCAACGCACAGCTCAAACCATTGGACAGATCTGGCTGAAATTTGGATAATAACAGATAGCTATTATGATGTAGACGTGCGCTAAGAAAGGATTTTTTGAAATTTTGAATTTAAAGGGTTGAAATCGGTAAATAAAACTATTAAAAAATTATTAAAAAACTATTAAAAACTATTTAAAAACTATTAATTTTATTTTTGGTAGTAAATGACGGGTATTGCATAAATATTAAACAAAAAGATCCCGCAACAGGTGCCAAAACAAATAAGAATGTTAATTCAAAAAATTATTATGCATATCGGTTGATGATTAGACGCGATCAGGACTAAATTATTTTACGATGCATAAGCTTTGTCAACAATTCATGGTCGAAATATATATAAAGATAGATAGCGAACGATTTCGATACTTCGATTTCGATTCAATCAAAAAAAGCTGCGTGCAAAAGATTCTCAAAACAATTGTTAGATATTGGAGATGGGAAAGTTACTACAGATGAAACGGGATGTATAAAATTACCGAACGATTTCTGCACAATCATTTATTCGTAAGATGCTCTCATTTACCAGATATGTCCCAGTGTACACAGACAATACACAAATCATGAGTGGCTGGCAGAAAGAGCAATTTTAGTAGCCAAAAATGGGGAGGTCAACGAATTGAATCTCATAATACAAAATTTGTTACCAGAAAACTTGGTATTTTCAAAAATTTCAATAGATTTAACAAAATTTAATCTTGGCAGGTTACATACATTTATATACTTAAACCCGGCAACGACGGGTTATTCAGCTAGTTTACATATAAATTTGCATAATTGGTTAAAAAATTATATTTATATCACATAGAGATCTGCCATAAAATTGGGTATAATAATCCTTAATTATTATCAATCAACCAGAAGTGCATACGAATCATATAATCTCTTGAATAAACGTATTATTAATTTATAAATATTTTAATCTGTTATATTGTATACTCTTATTAACGATTTAATAAAATATTATAACTCGTATAATTTTTTTTTTATGGTGCGCGCAGACGTTAAAAAACCAACTATCGTAAAAAATTAAGTAAGTATTATACTAATTAACTGTTAACGAAAAATTGTTTTAACTATAAATTTAAGAAATACGACTATTTACTTTTACTAGTATAGTTAAATTTCAGTTTAATTCCTTCCCAGAGTATTCCAATTCCGTGTAGTTTAGCTATGTGTTTAAGGAATTTTTTTTGTATGAAAAAAATAAATCAATAAAAAAAATAGTACTGAATAGTTATAAAATAAATAAAACTATCGTAATATTTTATATCCAATATAAATATATATATAACTCCTTATTAACAATGGTTTTAATCAAGACAAAGTAAAATAATGAAATAAAACTCGGACAATTGAGGATCTACTTCATAAATGTTTTTATATTGTATTATGTATGTATTATTGTATAATGATTTAGTTTTTATAGCCTAATAATTATTAGATGTTTCGTATGACAGAATGGTACTACGAATACTACCAGCACCCAACACAAATCAATGGAACAAATATATTAGTACAGTAAGTATATACGTTTTTAAATAAAATGTGAGCTTATTTTTTCTTCTTACGTGTAAAAAATTATAGAACTCTAGAATTATAGAATTTTCCAGTTAAGAATTAAAAAAAAATACGATTTAGAGTGATTTGCCGTTTTTTATTTCATATACAATGTTTTTCAGTGCATACACATTTAATCTCGAGTAAATATTGTTTATTGCACAATAACTATGTACAATAATATATTCTTGGTTTTAAATATTACATATACTTTTTCTTATCGCATAGATTCCGGAGTACGAGTACTATAAACACAGATTTACTCCAAGACAAACAGAATTTATTTTTACCTTTTTATTGGAGTTTTGAATATAGGTATTCAAGCACCATGGTTATTGTAAAAAAAAAAAAAAAAAGCATACAGTTGTTCAAAACTGTTATGGTTTCAACTCGCACTTACTACACCTTTACGTTCATAAAATGGAAGTATATCAATTTTAATACGCTAACTGTTGTACAACGAAGATAAAATATAATACTATTGATACAACATATTATAAATATTTTCATCTCACATGCGTATGCATTTTTATTAGAATAATAGAGTTATCGGCGCACATCAACAACAATGTAATCGTGATCTTCTTCGCAGACATTGTGTGATACGTGAACATTAGATATTTTAAATTCACTAGATAAAAAAAAAAAATCGAACCTTTACAAAAGAGACACATTTAAAATATGGTTTTATGTTTGATAAACTATGTTAGAATATTTGTATTGTAGACGGATTAAGATTTTCATTTTCGTAAATAGCTCGTGGTGTATTCTTTAAACCGTCAATAATCGGATGCATCCCGGTATTATTGTATTAACTTGGGTATCACGACACTCGAAATCCTTCAGGGTTGGTGAATTCAGCTTTTTCACGGGGATTTTAATGTATTAAGGATTTGGGTTGATTTAGGTGCTAAGCCTTAGTATGAATATGTATACTGCTATTGGAATCAGATTTAGGTTAAAAAAAAAATCAATATTCACAAAGATCTGATACATTTTCAACATTACATCATACCCATAGATACATATACATACGTATTAGAGTTTTTATGGTTAATAAATCGTAATTTTTACTCCGAAAATCTGAATTTTAATTAAGGATCGTACACTATGTATAAAAATTCTTTTGACATTGATTAAGTGTCTAGTAAAGTTGATGTGATTAGTGATTTTAGGTAAATCAGTACAATTTTTCATTTTATCTTATGTTGAAAACAATTTCAAATTTTTATCTATAATTGGTCGATGAGAAACTTTAAATATTTATAAATAATGAATTAATGTTGTGTAATTAATTTATGATACATACAGGGTACACTCATGAACGGTTTAAATAGATTTACAAAGGCCAAACAGTCTAAGTTGTGCTGCTGTATAGTACTCAATAAAAAATAAGTTGGTTACCCAAAAAGTGTATTGAATCACCAAGCGAATATTTTCTGCGTTCAAATGGGTAATAGGTTTCAATAAAACGCAGTGACTACAGACTTTATACTTACTAGTCATGTATAGGCCGTTTGTATGAAACAAATGGGATAGTAAAAATATTCTCTGTACCTGTCTTGAAACTGCGCACGCCTATGGTAATATACCTATCATATAATCATTATTTGGTTTTTATATATCTACTCGCAAATATATTTTATAAATATATAGATCAATGAACTTGACCAAGTCTACTACAATAAAATATAAAAAATGTATAATACGTACAACTATCTGTAACGAGGATTTAGTTGTATTATTTTTATTCGTTGTATTACACTCACTAGATATTCGTTTCATTAATAAGTTAAATGTAAATGTAAAATGGATAAATATATATATACGGCTCAAGATGATTGTTAAATCTGGATTGCAGCCAGTTCCAATGTAGCTAGTTTTAATTATGATGATTTTTCATTTTGAAGTGTTTGTAGTACCAATATATCGTATTGACATACTTATGGTTTTAACGTTATTCGAATCGATTGAAAATATGTGTTAATAACATATAATAGGTTTAAACTACATATTGTTATAATATGACATTGAATAATATACATAGTTAATTTTGTTCCATTTTTTTCTTAAATTTTGGTTAAATTATGTTTTTATTTACAGCGCTAGTGTAATTTTAAACTTAATGTAGCCAAAAATACAATCATTTGTTATAACATTTTTATTCTTGTCATATTTTGTATTTTTAATAATTTTTGTAATATTCATGATAACCACAAACATCACATATTGTACTCTAGAGACATATATTTCTTGATTCCCGCAAACAGGTACAAAAGATGAACTTATTTTCACAACAATGGAAAAATACTATTGTTGCCGGTCCTTAAGGACTTATTCTAGAACGGTTTTCACTATATATTCAAATAAATTATTCTGTTATTCTGTAGCTGAAGTAATGTATAATAATATCTGGTATGTCAATATTTATTTATTTCAAAGTTTCTGAGTGAATACAAAGTTGAAGTTACACAAAGTTAATAAAGTCATGTACATTGCATTATAATTTTTTTTTATATGATGAACATCGATCATTATATTGTACATGATATACAGACTTGATCTCAATAAAAATTATATCTATTTCAGTTATGCGTGTCATTACTTTTTATTAGTATTTTTACTTAAAAAAAAAAAAAAATGGTAATACTCAACTGTTTATCATCGTTATTGATATTTCAATTTTAATTCTATGCCGTAGTTTGTAACTTTCTTTCGCAAAACTTTGATATCAAACAATGTTTCGTGACAACAAATCATCTACGATATTTGATACAGAAAATTATACAAATTATACAAATCATAACAAGGTAAATGATAATCCAATAGATACGGAGGTATAATGATGATACAAGTCTCAAAAGTATAATTCTAATGGAACTTATATGGAATTCAATGGCCCTTATACGAAACATATCTAAACGGTTTCCGGTAACCACAACAATATTATTCGTTTATCGTTATCACTAATTGGTAAATTTGTTTCCAATTTATTTTCACATCACAGAAAACACACACATATTTATTCAAAGCCGTATTTCAATGTTATATGGTTCGAACGGATGTTTGAATTCAAACGTCACTTTTGTACGGCACGTATTAGCTACCGTTCGATGTATAATATTTCATTGATATATCCGCAAAATCGATTCGGCCACGTACGCAAAAGAAAGTTTTTACCACAAACTCTTTACTCATTAGAACTAACGATACATTTCCGCGTACCGTACGTGGACGAATAATTTACAACTTACCGTTTTTGGTGGACGCGATGAAAACCTTGACCAGCCTGGGTATAGCCCATCCTGCGGTGTCCAATTCACCTCTGAACACTCTTAGCACCTCTTCGTCGTTGTTCATTTCACTGAATCCATAACTGAAATCGATTAAAACAACAGGTGATTTATAAACACGGCAAGATAAACCGAAATCAGCATGCTGTTATTATGGTAAAAGTGATAAGATAAGAAGAAAAAAACCACTTATACATTATACACGCAACCGAAGCGGCGGAGAAAAACAGCTTCGGCGATTAAACATTTATAAATTGTGCAATAATTACACGTACCTATTGTACGAACAGTTTACAGTTCGAATTGTCGAGTAAATAGTTGGTCAATAACAATTTAATGTTGGTGTAGTTAGTAAAGGAAATTTATGTGATTGTCGTTTTATTTATTAATTATGAGTTCGCGGTGCAAACGAGCAGAGACATCGTGTTGTATAATAGTAATGGATGAATAAATAATGGCTTGGTCATAAGAAAATAAAGAGCACGTTCGACAATGAAGAACTTTTTTTTTAATAAATATATTATTTAATTTACGTAAATACGGTAGTCGAAGGAAAATGGGTTGATCGATTCGTGATCGTGGTTACTCATAGGAATGAGAACAAATATAATATTATACATCTTGTGTTTCATTAGTTATTTACAACTTTTGTTCTTTTATATCAGTACATATTTGAGAGGTTATTTATAATTTAACTTATCAGATCGTATATGAAATCTTCGTTATTCGATAAATCCGGTTTTTGCATAAACTGTTAATATAACATATTTTGAGTTATAGGCTCTAGAGCATTGCTGGAAGAGTTAATTTCTAATCGATTTAAAGTTAATATTTTAGACACGCCACATTTCTAATTTCAGTTATTATTAGTTATTGTTTTCATTACTTAATTATATTTAAGTTTTTATATATTTATTAAAACCCACAATTACCTACTGAGCATGTTGGGCAGTGACTAATAATATTGTTCGATTGTAATGTATTTTATATTTGATGTGTTATTCACATTTGGCTTATAAAATTGATCACGAAATCACGTTTAAAATTTAACTACGTTTAATAATGTATACATCAGTTTACTTACAACCGACATAGTTTAAATATTAAAAATATTTTGACCAAAGTTGATACAAGTAAAAATTGTTATAAATAAAATTTGATTTCCATGTACAAAATATTATCGATTTAATAAAATACGAATAGGCTATTCGATTGTTAGAATTGATAGCAGAAAAAGTAAATGCAGCCACAGGATGTGGATTATTGTTTGCATTCAACTTGGCAAAAATAGGTTATACAGATATTAAAATCAAGAAATAATAATTACAATAGTTTTCTATTGTTCGAAAAGGTTTTTAAAAAGTTAAACGCAAACAAATATTGCAGCAGCGTCTGATGATTATGTCCACGTAACACGTAGCCAGTACCAATTTTACCAATAGTATTGCGTACATATGTATACTATAATTAAATCAATGATAAAACACGTATAAATGCAATTCGTTGATAGGTTGATCTTGATTAAAACCCAAAACACGACCGGTGACCATTTCTACGTGTATACTACATTTTCATAGGGTTCGTTACTCTCATTTTCAAATGCTAAGTAAATCAAATCGTAGTACGCTATTATAATATTGCAAACCTATAATTTTTAACTTTTACACTATTTTATTATAGTTGACAGGGTTTATCCAAACTTAAGTACTTATTACTATTGCTTATATTATTATTATGTAACTATTAATTATTTTCATATTAAAACAGTCAAAAAATTACGACTTTGTAAATATCCATGGATGTATATAGCCCATATAGACTAAGAATCTCTTATAAAAAAAAAAAAAAAATTTGAATATATTAGAATTAAAAAATGAATCATCATTCTATACAAACATGATTTTGAAATGAATAAATTTAATATGTGTAAACTATTCTTGAATAAAATATAAATTTGTAATTTAATTTTATTATTATACTGTATTCAGGCAGACACAATAATAATGAAATTATTTTATGATAAAATAAATTGGTAGAATAAAAAAAAAATATTATTATATTTATAGCAAAAAAATGTAATCTAAATATTATGGAGAAGGCTAAGGGCATTTAACTGACAAACTATTGTGTACAAACTAGTAAAAAATAAACATTGCAAGTTTCTCTATTTTTTTTTTTTTTTTTTTTTAAACATATTTTTTAATAATTTTACAAAATTATTTTTATCAATATCATAATTTGGATGGACATTAACCATTCACCCGTTATTTTATTTTTTTATATATCATGAACTAATGAACAGTTAATCTAAGTGTAAAATATTATAGAATATAATATCAGGATAAAAATATTTTACACTACGATATGATCGAATTAATTTTTTACTGTACTTTCATGATAAATAAATATATTAAATTATATTTCGTATAAGACAATTATGTGTTTGCTGTTGAACAGCAAAATTATTAAATTTAAGTTAAAAATAATTGAATTTTACAAATTAATAAATTAATCCCAAGTACGGAAATTACGAAATTTGCATAACCCCATGTAACCTGTCTTTAACTTTCTGAGTGTAACGAAGAATGAATTTGTTTTACCAATGGTAAAAAGTTTTTTTTTTTGTGTGTTTGATTACACAATTTGAACCGGAAGGATTATTTCGGTCATCATCAAACATAAAGTAAAAGTAAAACATAGGAAATGGGTCCTTATTAGTAATTTAAATAATACTTTGGGAATTATTTGATGAATTATCCAATAGTATTCTCAATAGTTGCAAAAAATAGAATAAAAATTAAAAAAAAAACAATAAAATTGTCAGTATATCGGTTTTCGAAAAAATTAATGTTTGGTTTTCGTTGTAATTCAGAAAATAACGATTTTAAATAATTTAAATATTCACCGAGTGATTCTATTATCATTTTCAAGAGGTGATTTAGTTTTCATATTATCTTAGCTTTTTTTTTTTGAAAATATCAATGAAATAATTTTGAATTGACAAAAAATCTTGAAACTATAATACAAAGTTATTCTTATATACCTGCCGCTGGTTGATCAAAAAATAGAATCGTCTCAAAAGAAAAAAAAAATTACAAGCGATTGAATATAAAATAGTTATGCAACAATGAAAATTCGCTATATATCTGTAGACAAAGTCCATAAAAAGAATGAAAAAAAAAAACTACCAAAACAAAAAAACAACTTTCAGATACATCAAGGAATTTTTAATAAACGATATTAGTTATTTATTAGCATTTTTTAATTTTTTTTTATTTGAAAGAGAAAAACACAGTAAGCAAACACGAAGAACTTGTATAACAATAAATGTATAGTAGCAAAATGACCTGATGTGGAAGACTATTCATTGATAAATATACGATAGTTAATTTATTAGTTAAGGAGTTAATTTAATAATTAATTAGTAAATTAGTTAATTTATTATTTTAATAGTTTTCTGGTAATGTACATAAGGTTAAGTGTGAAATAAATGGGCGTTGATGGTGTTGAAGTTTTGAATGAAATTTGGTACATCATTTTTTGGGTAGTTGGTCAACTGAGTTTATTTTCAAATCTTTATGCAACGTTTATTTGTTATATAGCATTGAACTGAAGCTATGGCACAGCCCTAAATTTGCATGTAATAAACCCAGATAGGCCTTAATAGGGATTTATATAAAATTAATTTTGTACGGATCGATAGTTTTGATTTAAATATAGGGTGAAGCGTACGTAGACGGCCATTTAGTGTTGATATTTTGATATTAAATGAGGCCTTAAAGTTATTCGTCTTTCAGGTATAAGTCTTGGACATTTAACCTGTGGCATTGTGAGGATATATATTCTTTGCAGTTATAGCGACGGAGAGTTTTTTACGTAAAGCAAACACTACATAAAATTATTTTTCGTGGTCAATTTTTATTCGACATTGAAGGACTAGTATTGGCTTTTTATAATTTACTTGTTACTCTATAAATATTAATCGTAGTGACTTGAATAATTTACTGAATACTTAATTTAAAATTTTAAAGATATTTTATTGTTTCACAATATTATAATAAAATTTTTCCAGTTTATTGGCACTTGAATTTTTTTATTTTTCTAATTTGATTTTTCCGATCTTTATAACATTAAAAGTTGAACTTAAATTAGAACCATGGCATTATATCAACTCTTTTTAGAAAAAAAAAAAAATCAATCCCCCTCATTTCTATGACACATAATCGTTTCTTTTTTTTTGAGTAATGGTACATTGGTTGAAAGTATGAAATACCAATACAACAGTTTTACTTACCCTGCATCCCACCAGACCGTCAAGTTACACACGGTTTATATGTTTCATCTTTTTTTTGTATTTATTTTATTTAAAAATTAATTAATTACTGATAACAATAAAAACATTTAACGATAACTTTGCACATAGTAGAAACACAAATAACATTTAAAAATATCTTAGATTTGATTAAAAATAAATCTTGTGCGTTTTTTTTCTTATTAGGTAAAGTCGAAACATAATTTAATTATAGGATAACGAACAAATAATAGCTATATATTTGCTAAATTACAATGTCATTTAAAGGTAATAAGTGCTCAGAACAAAAAAAAAAAAAAATTGAATTGTGACTGGATTGTATATCAGTGGTCAATGGAAATGATTTTTTCTATTGTTAAAGTTTCAAGATAAAAAAAAAAAACTTTCGGATTTTTACAGAATATTTAAGTGCCGTTCAGAGTTCACTTTCGTGTACCATATATATGCTCACTACCATAAAATATTGATAACAATCGATGTTGACGTAACTGCACGCGAGAACATACGTTCATTTCGTTTTATATTATTTCAACACCTGATCAACACTTTTTTACGGTTGTTAATCATTTCCGAGTTATGCGGTTACCCGACGACATTTGAAACGGCTCGATTCGTTCAATACGATAGCATAACAACGGCGACGGTGCGTAATTTATGCATACCGGATACTATGCTAATTACTTTTTGGGCGTTCTTATACGACGGCGATGTCGTAAAGTATTCATAGCGCACGGCACCGTACCGGTGATGATTATAACACACGAGCTCCCG